AACTTTTATGGTCCTTAATTTGGTAAATGACTCTGCGTAGAGTCGGCCTTCACATATCCCATAATGTCTAATTATTATGTTGTTGAACATTTATATACATAAAGCAACAATAGCAATAAGCAGTATCTTCTGCCATCCACACAAAGCTCAACAACGTTAGAAGATTGGTCCTTTCTTCTAAGGATAATTGAAATATGTTCACTAATTTCAGATTAATTATTGAGACAGCATCAGGAATAAATAAATAAAAGACCTAAACTTCAAGCACAGAAAAAATAGAATTTAAATTTCAAAGACATGGTCATGATGTATAAGAACATAACTTTGATACTAATAGCAGTTACTTTAATAAATCCAATTAAAAGAAAACCAATAAAAAAAAAAAATAGAAGATCCACATCTAAAGCACTCAAACTTTCTACTAATGTTTTCGATCATGTCTCCACTACAGCAAAAAGAAAAAAAAAAAAAATCTTTAATTAGGCCTTATATAAGTATGGGTACCAACTGATAATCAGGACCTCCCATCTAAAATTAGGCTAAAATATACCCTCTCCAAATCACAACCTCTCATCCCTCTCTTAAACCCCATTAAAACAAAGCACCGAAACTGAAACAAACCTTTTTCTCCCCTTAACCTCAGCTACCTTAACCAACCCAACACCCACCATTTTAAGTTTTCAGTTTTAATCCATCTCTTCCTCTTTCTCTTTCACACCCCCAACCAATACAAAACAAACCCAGATTTCATACACCCTCCAAAAGGCACCGCTTTATACATATCTCCTTATTCGAGATTTCATTTTTTCATCTCCATTCCATTTATAGTTATTACATTGAATAAAAATCCACTCAACCTCTCAAACTCGTGCAATAAATAATCAATATATATGACTTAAGGGAAGTTAAAGCAAAAGTTGACTATTTAGAAATGTTTATAAAGCAACGGAAACTAACATGCAAAAAAGAAGCATAAAACCTTCTAAACAACTTTTCAGGCGGTGACAGAGTGACTGATCCTGTGAGGTTGAGGCCACTAGCGATCTGTTGTATCTGCACACGTAAGAAAACAAGCATGAAGCAAACAAAAAACACCGGGGTAGTGTTTGCCATAGGCACTCCGACGCTGAAGTCAGCAAGGCTGAGTGAGGCTAGTTTAGTGAGGGTTAGGGAAAGGAAAGATTACCGGAAGTCTAATCGGGAACTGTGACTACGGTTGTAATACGAAGTTCTCAAGTGGGAACTCCAGGGTCTGAAGGTGTAATATCTCTCTCCCTTGTGAGAGGGCTGGTCTCTATTTAAATAGTGATTGTATGGTCTTCGAATCCTGGTAGGACTGGGAGTCCTTGTAGTAATGGTCTTCCCAAAGGGTGGAGTCTTTGGCTCCCTTATCTCAGCAGGAAAGGGAATTCAAACATGCCTAAGATACAGACTTTAAAGGAAATGGGATAGTAATTGACTTCCTTAGTAGAGTTCAAGTAGTAGTATAGTTCGTAGGCGACTGTGGGCTGCGAGTTGATCGTAAGCCCAGAAGGTGTTCTAGGATCAGGAGGCCTAGGTCCAGATGGTGAAAAGTAGGGAAAACATACTGAGTGGGCCTTATCTGTAGAACTCTGATTTGGGCCCCATCAGAATTGGGCTTGAGCTTTCATCTTCGTCGGAGGTGTTTCTGTCTTTGGGCCTATTTGGGCTGAAGATATTTTTTGGCCCTAACAAGATCTATCTACAAAAATTGACATCAAATGAGATCCATTAATTACCAGTCACAGCAATTAATTATACATAATAACCCAATAAAGAAATTGAAGAGAGTGAGAGAATGCCTAAGAGTTGGACAAATATGTTATATTTAATAAATTCCATGCTTCTATTCCCTTTGCTGCACAAATGACATCCAGCTACAGTTAACCACAAAATCATGTCATAATCACAATACCAGTTAAACCAAAAAAATGAAAATGGTTTGATAATTGGGTGGTCCACAGGAATATGGGCAACCCATTTTCTAAGGTTTTATGTTTATGCTAAAAATGACTCTTGATTATAAATATAAAAATGGCTTACTTGCCCATTGTATATGGTGACATTCACCCCTTTTGCAAGTAGCTCATCTACCTGTAAGATAAAAGATGATTAATGTAAAATTTAGAATCATCTTATGAAAATAAAACAAAAACCCATATCACAAATGCACCCAAAATGATAAGGATGTGTTTGGCAACCATGCATTTTAAATATGAGAAGATAGTATGGAATCTTTGACTTCAATATTAAACCAAATGAAAGGAGTTATAGTTGATCTTTCAAACACATTTTGAGTGGTGACAAAGGAATCATATGGTGCATTTGGTTCAGTATTTCTACCCATATTCCCAATCCTATTCCTCAAATATTGTTTGCCACATTATTCCAGAAATATTAGTGTTTTAATTACTTTTAGACCCCTCAAGTTTATTGATTTCACTAAATACCCCCCAAAAAAAGTTTAAAAATTAGCAAAAATACCCCCACCCACCCATACTTACCAGATTCCGGCAACCACCGTCGGTGGTAGCCGGAATCTGTCACAATGGCTTAAACCAAGCCCAGAACTGATCGATTATTCACCTATCTAGTCGTCAGCGACAGCCAAAGAAATGGCAACGACGGCCAAAACTTAGCCATCGTTGACCGAAAACGACGGCCATATCATTGGCTGTCGCTGACAGCCAAAGATGGACCTTTACGGCCGTCGACAACCACATTTGGGTGTAGATCTAGCATTTTCTGGCCAAATCCGTGGTGGATCTGGCCGGAAAGGGCCATAGCGACGCGTTACGACACAAATCCGACCGGTCTGTGTCGTAACGAAATTTTTCGGCTAGATTCTGACAATGGTGGCCGGAATCTGGCACTGTAGGTGGTGGGGGTATTTTTCATTTTACATATTGGGGTGTTTAATTAAATTAGCAAACCTTGGTGTTTTTTTATAAATTTTTAAATTTTACCTCATAATACTCTTCTATCCAACTACCCAAAATCATATCCAAAATAATAAACCAAACACACTCATACATTTCAATACTACCCAAAATTATTCCCAAAATCCTATCCAAAATTATTCCCAAAATGTATGATTCCTTCAAGTATAAATTAAGTTATTTATACTTGTTAGAATTAACCCAAACATGACTCTAATCAGAGGATTCAAACTCAAAAAGCCAAAAACATTTCCTCTCCGATATAGTTGAGAAAACATTTCAATTGAATCTTATTACAATTCAGTATGTCTGGTTCTTCTTGAAACAGGGCAAAGGCTCTCCAATGCTTGCGAACAAAGAAGAAATGAATTAGAGAAATGGGTCGTATAATGAAAACGATGAAGAGAGAAAGATGAAGAGGATGGAAATATTAATGAAGAAGATGAAAAGAGAAGAAGATTGAATGCATGTGAATAATCCCTATTATAGTAATCTTTTAGTATTCATGGAAATCAATAACACATACGTGAATTCTTAGTAATTTATCAAATTAAAAGAGGAATATGAAATATCTTAAATTGAAAGAGGAATGTGAAATATATGTAATGAATACATTAATTGAATGCATGTGAATAATTTCTATTATAGCAATCTTTTAATATTTATGGAAATCAATAACACACACGTGAATCATTAGTAATTTATTAAATTAAAAGAGGAATGTGAAATATCTCAAATTAAAAGAGAAATATGAAAGATTTGTATTGAATACATTAATTGAATACACGTGAATAATCTCAATTATAGCAAGCCCAATAAACAGCAAACACGTGGACCAATTAACGACATCCTACATGGCGATCATATATCAATCCTACGTGGAGTCAGAAGAAGCAGTTTGCTTTAGCATTATATAGATATATAGATAGATAGATAAATTATATGACTTGTTTTTCTTCTTTTTTTTCAGTTATTGTAATCATTCAATCAAATAATGATTAATACATAATCGATCAAACACTACTTGAAATCGGCTCTTTTACTATAAAATGGCCAAGGACAAGTGGATCATGCACTCTCCATGTGCAGCCACCTATAACTTGTATTAGAAATAAAGAATCAGATGAAAGGGCGGCAAAGACAGCTATAGAAAACCCATTTTGTTCGCTAATTTTACACAACACAATGGAGAGGAGTTAATAAAAAATTTTTTTTTTTCTTTTTTTTTGGATCACCGAGATTGTTTGAATCAATTTACGCACACTTTAATTAATATCTCAAAAACTTAAAACTATTGTTTTGAAACACGGCTCAGCCCGACCGATTCTACCGAGACCCATTGTTTTTAAAACATTACTCTGAACTATCGACCGAGTAAGAACTTCAATAACTACTCCTATTGACAATTGATGAGAGACTTAAACTCAAGACCTCTTGAGTAATATACCTAAGAGTATCAATCCAATCGGTTACCCAGGGATAGTTAAAAAATCTTTTATTTCAATCATCCTTATTTTGCTCTTCTACGTTTCAATTCCTCTTAGTTTATTTTTTCAGATTTTTTTCAAAAATTATACCAGATCAAACCATTTTTTCAGATATATATATATATATTTTTTTTTTTTTTCCAAAATTCAATAAATGTTGCTTGATCATTTATTTCATTTGTATTTCAATTATTCAAAGTCCCATTCTGATTTGATCCCTCTTAATTTCATATTCAAAATTGCCAGTCGAAAAGATTTATTAAAAAGAATCCTTTCAATACATTTCTTGTGTATCATAAACGCTATATTGGATTGAGAAGTTATATGTAGGCTATATTTATTGCAATCTGCTATAATTGTAATTGGGCCAATAAGGAGTTTGCAGCAATGTTTAGTGAGTTATATCTCTATAATGAAAAATGAAGTAATTAAAAGCAGTTAAATGTTACATAAGATAAAAAATTGGTAAATGCTTAAATATTTATTGTATAAATTACACACAAAAAAACAATAGCAAATATTATATTTTATCTTACATCAATGAAATGAGAAATGAATCCATCAAGACAATAATGTACCTCTCAAGAATTCTGTGATCTGCAAAATGCATGGGGTAGAAATAGAATGAACATACCTACAACATAACAACATAACAGGAAAAGAATTCGCTACTGTTCTGTTCGGTACAAAAAATTGGATTAGCGGTGAGACGGGGAAGCAGCAAAAACTCCGAGCTAATACTACTAGATATCCAAGCAATGAGATAGAAAGTACAAGTGCATAAAATAATCACAAGGATCATATTATAGTGTCAAAACAGGAGGAGAGAGGCGAGGAGTGTAACCAGCGACGAGAAGATGCCTGCTGCAATTTTAGGCTGTCCATTTGGTTGTGTCGGAGCAGCTGCTGTACCACCACCCCCAGGGCTGGGAGCTTGTTTGTCTGTAACGGGGGGTAGTGGTGGCTCTATGACATCTGCCTCTGTCAGTAGGGGATTCGGTGCCTCAGCTGGTGGTAGGTATGGAGGAGTGACGACCGCGATGAGACTACCAGGCTCAACCGGGTTCATGTATATCGGGGTACTGTTGCCCATATTTAAACATATATTTTCTACAAAAAGTAGTAACACCATATGTTAGTCGTAATATTTTGTAATTAGCATATAAAACAAAGGCATTATTGCGGTTTAAGAAAATTTCACTTGGATAACGTATTCATGCATATTGAATTAGAAAGAATATATGTTTTGAGCACCCACTTACTTCGATATCTATCAGCAGTCAAAGGGAACTCTGTAATGATACCATTCACAACAGCAGCCTGGTAGTACGTGTTGATCTCCTCAGTTGCGTCTGAGAAGAAGTCCCATGCTTGAGAAACAAACTCATTTCTGAAAGTTTCTACATATACCGAGAGGTTGAATGCTTGTAGCTTTGGTACAACTTGTGAAAAACCGGTGAGGAATAAATTATTCTCAGGGAACACAGAGTCCTTATTGACAACCACAGAATGAGCAAACTTCCTAATGTCCTCCACAGTGGAGTTAAGAGCATCACGAATATTTTCATCAACCTTGTAGACGAGCTCATAGTTTTTATTATCCTTGAATTTCGTTAGAACAGAGCTGTTGGTGGACTGAATCATAACCTTTAAAGTTGTCTGATTATCATAACCAGCATCTTTCAAGGCCGTAATTACTGCATCAGTTGCACCTATCCCTTCATTCTCTGCAAGGTAAGCTGCATACTGAAAAGAGCAGGAACAAAATGTCAATTTCACAATATTTGAGTCAAGGCGGAAAGATCTCATTTTGCATGCCGCACAAAAGGTCAAATTACAAATACAATAGCCACGAAAGAAATTCCACCAAGGATATTTTGTTCCCTGAGAGATTTAAAGGTGGATAAACTTGTGCCAAAAGTTTTAGTAATATTATGCTTCGGAATGCACTGCCTCAAAGCCTCAAGGGTATGATCTTCAAGGTAATGAAACTGGAAACCATCTTCAGGACATAATTTTTGCAAATCAAATTGAGACTTGAAATTTCAGTGAAAGTTCACTGAGAAGGGTGGTATTTTGGAAATGGTGGAATGAAAAGAGGCATTGAATTGTCAGGATCTTTATAAAGTCCTTGCTATTATTTGATTATGTCAATCAAAGTCGTAACTGGGCCTCTTCTGATGAATTCTAATAAGACAGTAAATAAGCACCACCATAGATGGTAAACGCTAGCTTCGAATCAACAGTTTCTGACCATTTTGCTCAAAATATTTACACAGCGGAATCTCTTTCATAACTGTGGCGCTTCATATGATGATGCAATGACAATTAATAAGCATAAATGCATTCAGCATACAAAACGACTATCTCTAATGGAGCAATACAATTCAAATATGGTTCTTCAACAAGTACAGTATCCAAAGACAAAAAAGCTTACCTCTATGCTGATCAAGACACCAGAAAGAGAGCTTGCATTTTTTGCCAAAGCCAAAAAATCAGACAACTTCAGAAACTTTCCAGCACTTTTGAACTTTGGGTTCCGGAACAATTGGAACTGAGCATATGGGTTTGATATTGCCGCTACAGTAAAAAGAAAAATACATAAATACAGAATGCTGAAAATTTTATCAAGAGAAAAGTTAGGGCCAGCCATATTTATTTTAAGAAACAGAGCCAACAATCCAGGCAAACAGTAACACATGAACAGATTTTTAAGATAGAGGAAAGGCATATGAAAGTAACTTGTGTTTTAGAGAGACTGAAATACACTATTTTTTGGGATCTTACATATGAACTTAAGCTTGTAGGTCAAATTATTATTCAATATATGGTATCTCCAGCGTACGTGAGTTTGGTCTAATCTACAGTGCATGTGAGGGGATCTGCCTTACCTATTAGCTTAAATTACCTAGCATTGTGCAGTTACTCACCATGATACATACAGACTTAAGGAGTCCCAAAGTAGGGACTTATTCATGCTTCTCCAGTATAAAATAATTATTTTTCCAATGCCATAATTAACATATAAAAGCCATTAAAACATACAAAATGAATTTAGATAACCAAATGACAAGTTCAAAGATAAACCTAAATAGAAACAGTAAGAGCTCTTCTTTATGGTTTTTACCTACAGCTCTTATTTTCTCTTTACCTTCTGGTACCTATTGGCAATTCTTTCCAATTTTATATAAGTAGTTTTCAAGTTTTGGCATACGGTTGCCCATATGGCAATCCTCTCAGAATTTAAGTGGGTAGTTATCAGGTGCTGATTTGAAACACCCTTATGCAATGCAAAGTTCTCTTTGAGTTCATATCAATGCCGGTTCATTACCTATATATATATATATATATATATACAGAGGAAAGAAAGAACAAAAATATCTAACAATCATTACAACACAAAAAGAAACAAGAATCAAATTCAAACTTACGGTGCAAGGTTTGAATGTCTGCCCAATTCAAGCTAAAGGTAAATATACCACTGCCTTGTATAATTGGAATGCTCTTTGCAAGGTTACTAAAACTTGATTGAGCAGCATCTGTACTATCAATAAGATTTATAGAGCTCAAGCAAAGTGGTATTCCGTCCTTTGACATTTGAACAGGACAGTCAATAATATCTACACCATCTGAAATAGCTTTCATGTATGCTAAGTCAGTACAACCTGGGTAGTCTCCACTCGCTCCATTCTTTGAGATGATTAAAAGATCTTTCACTGTAATATACAAAAGATAAAAATAAATAGATTAATATAGATCTTTAAGAATTTTGGTGTTAGTTTAATTAAAAGCCACCAACCTTTGACATCATCAAAGAACAGGAAAAATAAAAATATTTGTAGCGAAAAGCACTATGCAGTACAGGCATACCTTTTTTTGAAGCGTTATTTCCTAGGTGAGAAAAGCAATCTGCAGCATAAAAGAATAGATCAGATCTAATTTTATAGGACAGTATCTACTATTACAATGAACAGGTTACCAAGTCGAAAATGTTAATCATGCCAAGAAATTGACACGGGCAAAACCAAAATTACAGTTTCATTCTTCTATCCCATGGTATGGTTGGGGTATATCCCAAAAGAAAATGGAGATCTTCTCACTATCAAGAGAAGAAATAACCATATACATCATATGGGATAAATATTAGATATTATAACGTTAATAAACACAGTACAAATTATCAGCTAAACGAGTATTAATTTGGCTACTTTTTTCAAATTTCTAATACGAGTTATAACCCCAGAGAGGAGTTTTAACAAAATGGTATTCAGAGTAACTAAGAATAGGAAAAGAAAAATGAAAATCAGAAAGTTTACGTGATTGCTGTAAGGTTCACATAGAACCTTTGACCAAATTCAAGGTTACTTGCAAACATAAGAAGAAATAAATTCATTCACTAGAAGTTAGGAGTATTAGAAACTAAAATTAAAAAAAATCCATTTGAGGGAAAAACAATTGAGTACGTCAATGAAGTAACATCTAGATAGTTAAAACAACAGCAAGGCAATAATCAGTAAAAGGGTTTGTGTCACAACCACAATAGTTATATTCATTAAAATGGGGTTATGCCACAAATGCAGGCACAGACTCAGACTGGTCAGTACAAACATACATCTTATATAAAAAATAACAGTGACTCAACTCTTTAAGATTTTCTAGAAGATGTAACAGTAAAGCAACGGAAAAACAGGATCACTCACCCGCGGCTGCTGATGGAGTTATTGGGAAGTCAGACAGGACACCATCAACAGAGAAATCACCATTGTCGAAGAATGAAAGATACTCTGCTACTGGGTCATAACTATGGTTGTAGCTAAATACAAGGTCATTTGCAAATTCTGATGCAAAAACTTCCAGCCCTTCTTTATGAGCATCCGCAACAAGGGAGGTGTGAGGTTGTAAGTAAAGACTCTTGTCTACTGGCCATATGTAATCCTTAGGGACAAGAATCCCAGAGGCAAAAGTCTTAATAAATGTAAGATTCTTTGAGAGAGAACCGTAAGTTTGGTTGCTTGTAGGCTCAGTTTCATTTTGTCCAAGAAACCTGAAGACCAGTTTTGTTATGTTTGGATTGAATCGTGATGCAATACTTGTCAAGAAATTCACCTCTGGCGATGAGATATAATTGATAACTACCCTCCTGGATACAGAAAGCACATAGCTTCTCATACTCAAGTTGTGTTGGGTGTAGAATGCATCATGCTGCAAAAGTATCAGACAAAAAGGGTTGGCTCCATAAAAATATCACAAGAGCAGATTACAAACAGAAATGGTGAAGAGGGTGCCAACAGAAAATAAAGCAATTACATTAAAAGAAAGTACTGGCTTAATGTGGAAAAGAAGTATCAATCTACTACTTAATGTGGAAAAGAAGTATCAATCTACTACTTACTTGAATATTCAACCATAGGCCTGGTGGTTTCACTTGTCCGGCCACATCTTCAACAGTGAGAATTTGGAATCCACTGCCATCAAACTTATTAGTTCGAGAAAAGACTCCCTGAGTTACTGCCCAGATAACAAAAGTGTTTGAAAATTTAGAAAGTCAAACTTCAAACAGATTGTAGCAAACAGAATTATTTCACTGTTTTCTACTATGAGCCACTGCTTCCAATAGGAATATGCCCAACCTGATTTTCTGGTTTATAGAAACGATCACCCTGTTTTCTGCTATTTCCATAACTTGCATAGCGCTTTACAAACTTTGAACATAAAGAATCCACTTCAATTTTGTAATTCACAAATTCCCGTTATAGCAGATTTTAGATAACATTCATACTTAAACACACCCAAAGAAATTAACTATAACATTGATTAAAAAAAAAACTAACTTAAGGGGCTAATACAGTATAGGCTCAGTAATATTAACGGGCTAATTTCAATACTAAATTGCTAGCATTTATCAACCCACCATTTTTTCTTACCGTTACTGTTTTCAGTTTGTTACCAAGTTGTCCTTAAATTTTACTAGTATGAGTTAAATCGGGATACAAAACTCCAGCAACTTGATAAAGTAACAACTTTAATCTAATTAGAGGTATTCAACTCAAGTCATTAAACCAAAAAAGAAAAAAATGATAATACTTACAGAAGACACTTGATAGGTCATTCAGGGTGAAGTCTATGGGAAACCATCCACCGACTGGGACGCCATTAACAAGGTAAGTCTTTTGCCGATTTTTATAAACAGTATCAATGTTGGAAGCATTGTTTAACTTGATATCAGGAAAGCAAATCCCAGCAGCATCTTTTGTCAACTGCAAATCACACCATAAGATTACATCTGATACACTTAATCCCACTGCCAAATTGTAAGCTAAAAGACTAGAATCCGGAAACAGGCCCGAAAACCCGCCACGTGCCACCACCAACGGTGGCTTTCCTGCAAGCACAACACAGCCAAATTATTCAGCTTACCAAACAGTTATTTCATTTAAGTCTTATTTTATTTTATAAGAATTCGTCTTCTAAATTTCTAACATATAATATTTCTAAATCTAGTAATTATTTAAAATGCACTAAACTTGAAAATTCATTTTCTCATGTTTTCCTGCACTTTCTCAGGATCCAAACAGACACAAACTACATCAACGGTATCTTATAACATCTATTTCACTCCACCATCCTCTTTTTTTTTTTTTTTTTTTGGGTAATATATCCTAAGCTTCAAACATATAATACTTTTAAATCAAGCAATATCAAAGACATGCACTAAACTAAACACTTCACTCTCATCTTTTCCCTCACTTTCTCAGAAAACAAACACTGACACAAACTACAAAACCTTTATTCATTTATCCTCAGCTTCTAAACCAGCTAAAACAGAAAATAAGAAATATTTCCAAACTCAGTAACCTTAAAACTAACACTCAGCTCAAACTCTCATTTACTCATTTTTCTCGTTTTATTTTCCTCAACTTTCTCAGCAACCAAACAGAAAACAAAATCTACAAGACCGCACCGCTTAATGTCTGCCATGGACTTGGAGTGTTAGATCCCTGAGCTGAGACATCATGAGCACAATTAAGTACAACCAGAACAGCAGAAAGTACCACAACACTGAGAGCGCGTGCGCTGTACATTGCCGGAAAATGACAACCTCGCCGGATCTCCGCCGCAACCGCCGATCTTCTCGGTAAACGTGCTATAGCTATTTTTTAAGAGAGAGAAAGAACGGAGAGCTATGAGGAATTCAGGACTCAGGAGCACTGAAAATTTTCGAGGTGGCTTTGCATAAATTTAATATTTATAGTATTACTGCTTTTTAATTAAATTAAATTATAGTTTTTTTATATATATAAATAATAATTACGCGTTCTGATGTATTGAGTTTGCTGAGAGCCGGTTGTAATCGGCTTGAAGAAGCCGAATCCGAAGCCGATATCGTGTGTTTGTGGAACTGTCTGAAGTAAGAAGGAAATGATTGAATGCTACGGGCCCATTGTTTTACTGTAAGTTACTGAGTGTAAATTATTCTAAAAACGAAACTCCCCTCACTTTTAGTATACTTTCAAAGAACCCCCTATAGTAATATAGTTTGAAATTATTACTCACCTCTCCTATTTTATCTATGGGGAGATGAGATTTGACTAAGAGAAATACCATCTGTGAATTTATTTAAAAAAAAAAATTTCATAAGATAATAAATAATAAATGTTAACTTATTATTTTAAATTATTGCATATGCACCCCTATAATATAATACACGTATTAGATGGCTACCATTACTTATGATTAATAGTCTTAAATTGAAAGCATATTTAATGAGATTTTATCTATTAAAACAATAGTAGTTGTATGTAATCCTAAATTTGTTCTCCAAAGTAAATGGTCATTTCTCATTAGTATCCCACTATCTAAAGGAGGTTATCAATAATTATGAAAGTAGGGGTGCTTTGTAATTGGTAACTCTTATCCACCTCCTCCATGATGACTATAATTTTTTACTTTGGCGCATTTAATTGCCACCCAAAAAGCTAAGTAAACCCTCTAGGTTTCAAAAACTAACACTAGTACCCTTAAAGTTACCTTCCGTCAATATTCATTTAACTTTGACTGTCTCTAACTAATGACTCATTTACATTGCCATTTCCGAGTTTTATTTTTGTAATTATAAATGATTTATATACCCTTTATGTGTTAAATTTAACGAGTTATTACTTATGTAGGGGATCATAGTGGAATATCATGAACAACCCCTATAGTTTGAAATAATTCAATAACACCCAAGTCTACGTTGATCTAGATGTTTTAAAATTGAACGAAGCAAACAAGTCAATGACATAGCTATACATGTCCTGTCTGGCACTATGGGTTAACCCAGCCTAGCCCATGAATATTGAACCAGTCAAAATTGGTCCATTTCCTGGCTGGAGCCTCCCAATTCCCACCCGAAGCCGAAACCACAAGTGGGCTCACCAGTTCTCTCTGATTGGGCGACAGCTGGATGGGGGCTACAACCAACCTGTCAATAGCATACGTGGCAATAAACCATTGGATGCTTAACAAAAACGCGCAAATGGGTAACGTTGGAAGTGGGACCCCCCCTTCATAAGTAACAGACGATCCAAATTTGGGCATGGAAAATGATACATTTGGCAGCCATGTTTAGACGTGTAAATTGGAGTCAATTCTTGAAAACGACTGCGTTTTATATCATTAAGAATTTAAGGTCTATTTTAATAAGAATTGAGTTAAGATGTGTGTGGATTCAACGCTTAAAATTGGCTACAAATGTATATATATTTTCAATAAAGAAAAGGATAACAAGCAAACTAATAGAATGCCACCACTATTTAATTCTAGAAATTACATGGATTTTCAAGTCAATTGGTGAACAAATAAAACATAAGAATTAACCACCCTTGGGTGGTCGGATGGAACGAAATATATTTTTGGATATATTATTCAAAAGGTCTCGAATTCAATTCTCCACTGAAGAATATATCCCATCGTTAACTTCAGGATCTCAATAAATTAGTTGAAGTACGCATAAATTGATCTGAAATTTATTAAAATAATAATAATAATAATAAAATGATTAAAAAAGAGAGAGACAAAAGAGAAACTCACAAAAAGAAGATAACAAAATGGTCAAAATCAAACAATACGTTGCCACTTGAACGGGTAAATTAGTGAAAGCCACAATTCAAGATGACCCATAATAATAATAATAGTACTATAATGGCACCACCACTAAAAAAATTGCAGTCACTTTAACATATGCAAGTGCCCATGGACCATGAAAATGTCCTTTAATTTATAATTTTATATCTTTAAAATTACTTGTAAAGGTTGTTTTCAGTACTCAATTTTCCAATCTGTAATGCTAAGTTTCCTATCTTTTTCCTTTTTCTGTTTTGAGGGAGTATTTCATTGCCACCCCCCCAAGGTTTAGTAAACTTAACCCTTGAGTTTCAAAAACTAAATTGACACCCTTAATGTTATTTCTATCAATACTCGTATAACTCATTCACATTCCGCTCTCGAGATTTAGTGAAAAACAGATTTCAATCCTTTAGGTTTCAGAAATTGAACACTGGAAGACACCCCTAACATCTTATGAACAACGATTCATTTAGTGGCCACCTCCAATGGAATACTCAACGTTTGGAATATTAATATCATTTTTTAGAAACTTAGGGGGTTTCGACGATCTTCCACTAAACCTCAGGGGTGCCAATGATACCCAATAAAGTTACGTGAAAACATTAGTCTAAAATTGTATAAATTAGTTTGTTAAGAATTGGTCAGCCATAAACTCTAATGGGTTACAGCCATTTTCAAATTTTATATATCATTGTAACTTGTTTGATCTAATACTTCTTGTTGCTTATATTAATAATTTAATTACATAGGAACTTTTTTCTAATGAAAAATTAGGACTTTAATAAACTATTGCTAATATTTTCAACAAAATTAATCTTTGTGTCATTATATTTAGTCAAATTGTATTACTCATTATTTCATTTAATTGAATCGCTCAACGATTCAAACAGAAAGAAAAAGAAAAAGAAAAACTTGCATAGAAGTATTGGGTGGTCGATAACATTATCAATTCTTAAAAATTAATATATTTTTAATACTTGGTAACATTATCGACCCAATATTATAAATAATTGTTAAGGCAAGTCTTATTAGATCTTGCATTATATGTAATTGTAGAAAGTGCTAATTAAAAGTAATATGAAAGTGCCCAAAATCCAGAGTTTCATTGTCCTATTTTATTGTCATATACTCTCTACCTGATCAACTTTTAATTTAAAAATAATCAAAGATAAAATAATGTATAAAACAGAGAGCCATGGTCAAACTTAGAGACAAAACCAGAGGCATAGCTATTTATTAATAATATATAAGATTTTATACGTATTATATAAGTGCATAGGAAGGTTCTTTAGCCAACAATCTTATGTATTCCACATGGGTATGTGGTATTAAAAATTATAATAAAGGCTACCGTATTCTAGTAAAGTTATAATGACTATAGCTTTTAAGTTCAACACAAAAGAATATAAGGGGTAATACTATTCTTACAACTATGGGTGTGTTTGATTCATTATTTTGGATATGATTTTAAGAATAATATTGGGTAGTTGGATAGGGGGGTATTACAAGGTAAACTTTAAAAATTTATAAAAAAAACCTTAGGTTTGCTAATTTAATTAAAGACCCTAATATATAAAATGATAAAAACACCCCCACCACCCGCAGTGCAAGATTCCGGCCACATCGCCGGAATCTGGCCAGAAAATTTCGTTACGACACAGACCGGTCAGATCTGTGTTATAACGCGTCGCTATGACCTTTTCCGAAAAAGGCCAGATGTGGCCGTCGACGACCGGAAAAGGCCAAAGAAATCCATCTTTGACCGTCGTTTTCGGTCAACGATGGCTAAGATTTGGCTGTCGTTGAACGTCAACGACGTCCATTTCTTTGGCCATCGCTGACGGCCAGATCAGTGAACTGCCGGCCATTTCTAGTCGGCAGGTAGGTCGTTGTAACCAGAATCTGGCAAGCATGGGTTGATAGGGGTGTTTTTGTTAATTTTTAAACTTTTTTCTGGGGTATTTAATGAAATTAATAAGCTTAAGGGGTCAAAAAGTAATTAAATATATAATAATATTTATAGAATAATGTGCCAAACGATATTTGGGGAATAGGATTGGGAATATGGATATAAATACTGAACCAAACGCACCCATAAATATTTTCTCACAATCCTGAGGTGATAGCTCATAAATGGGTGTCACTTGCTTGTTATGGATCTTGCTTACCAAATTGCGAACTACAACATTAGGATTGTAAGAGAAAATTTGGTTATTATTATTATTTTTTTTTTTGTGAAAACCTCGAGATGTCTCCACACTTGAAGGTATGAGACTCATTTCTGATTGAGGCTCGAGGAAATACCCCTGATCACTAGCTGTTTCCAGTGAGATTTTAACCTCTATCATAATTCATGGTTTTATTCGCTTTGTTTTAAGTCTAACTTGTATACGTTTACCTGTAGACTTCAAGCAACCTGTCTTTTTTAACTTATAAATTAATTAAGAGACTTTTATTCGATGGCAATGTTATAAAATCAGAATCATACCAATAGAGATTGTTCAAACAATCCATGGGGAGGATGATTTGGTGGGGCATTATTTTTATAATTTGAAAGAAAATTGAAGAACCCCACAAACTTGTTTGAGCTCACGTTTGAGGTGGGTCAAAAGATAGAGATGGGAAGCACTAAATGGAGACACAAATTTTAAGACTTTATCAAAATGAAAAGGACTTTGTGGGCACGCCAATGTTTTTTCTGATTTGATAATTTATTCAAACACTTGAGATGCATTCATGTTTTCAACAACACATTATATATAACATTCAATTAATCTAACTTTTTTCAATTAATAAATCAGTATAATTTTTTTATTATTATTATTATTATTATTATTATTATTATTTTTAATGGGTGTTCATATGAGACTAAGGGTGATCCCAATGACATGTTTTTGTCACCAAAAAAGGTGCAAAAATCTTTAAGTTATTTAATTGATTATGATATCATGCATGATGTAAATATTTAGAAAGTTAAAACTAATTTATTCAAATAATAATAAACCCATTTGGTTTGCGATTTTAAAATATTTTTCAAAAATTAAGCTACATTTATTTGATATAATATTAGAAAAAAAGCATTTTTCGTAGTTAAAAAGAATATAAATTAAGAAAACAATTTTTTTTTTTGTTTTATAATTTTACACGAATTTATAGGATTATAACAAAAACAAAAAAAAATTAGTTAAGAAATGGTATATATAATAATATTAATAAAACAATTTTAACAATCTATCGATGCTTATTAATGATATGGACGTATTTCTAAATGTATTTTAGGGGTACATTTAAAACGTTTTTAGGTAAATTGCTTTTGAGATAAGCAATTCATATTACAAAAAAAAAAACACTTATAATGTGAAAGCACTTTTGATTAAACTATCTTTAATCAAACTTTAAGAAAAAAAAAAACATTGAAATTGTTTAAATTGGCAGGTTGTAACAAGGCCAAAAGCTGTCACAAACATACTCAAAACCATATTGAAATTAATATGGTCATTGGACCACTATAGTTCCAAGCTCTTTCATATCAGAAGCTGTAAATCCATATAAAAATTCTAAATTCTATTCATTACGCTATTCAATGGGTCATGACTCATAAGCTCATATTATGTTAGTTATTACCAGCTGTATATCAATATTTTATAATATGATCATATGTATTGACAAAGAATTTAAATATATATTAATAATGTATTAACATACTGTATATTATGTGTTACCCAATTGACAACTTTCTCTTCCAACATTTAGAAATTGGGTTTATTTATTTTTTTAGATTTAATTTGCTTTTGAGCTTGGAGGCTTTTTTCGCCTTCCATAAGCTGCGCAGGAAAAACTAAAGACCGATCCCAGGAAACAGTTCGCATCTTCATAGACATGTCTATTTCACCGAGCCTTGTTCTATTACTTAGATTTTTCATTTTTTATTTCAGTTAGAGAGAAATTTGTCCGATGCATAGATCGAATTTGAATAGACAATTCATGCATAGTATAATCCCTAATTATCGTTATCGAATCTTTATACAAATATTCTTCACTAAAAAATACATCGAGTGAACCACTCGACTTGTAGTCGAATGATAATACCTTATGTTACTTAAAAATCTTGTGTTCGAGTCCTACTAAGTGATCACTTATCACATTTGTGACTTACTCAGACGATTAATTGAGGTACAGAACAAACTGATCCGAACACTGTAGTCACTAAAAAAAAAAAAAAAAAAACACGTGTAGTGAGATGAGGGGATTCAAGGCTTATTAATTGACCTAGACTTGAAAATTGATCAAACTCATTCTATAACAATATGGAATGTGATATTGAGAGTTTATAATTGAATCTATGTAACGTCTCTTGATTAAGAATATTACGACAAAAAGGAAATATCACAGAAATTAAAAACCCTTTCGTTAATAATTAAATATAGAAACAAAAAATATAAAAAAGGAAAAGAAAAGAAAAGCAACAAATAATAATTGAAACTTAAGCATGTGGTAGGTCATCCCTGCAAAAATCATAATTCAAGCCACTCAGGCTATGGCACATGCACTTATTAATATTTATTACTTCACCAAGAATCTGCCATTGAGCCAATTTATTGAGCCTTTATTATTATTTTGGTACTACAACAAAATATCCAATCCCTACCCTATTCTCTAATCCATTACATTTCACCCCCCTTTGTTGTCTTAACATCTATATTAATACCCAACACTTTTATCGACATTATCGATTCAGTATTTCAGCGAAGTCGTTTTTTCATCTTCGACTCTTTGTTACTTGTAATTGAAGTGTGCAATAATGTTTTTCTGGTAAAAAGTGTGTTTATTTTGATGTTTCAGCTAAATATAGCCATAGGATAAGATGAGTTAGGTTATTGAGAATATGACTTGTGCATGTGATTTACCTAAAAAGCCAAAAAAGGTGATTGATTCACAATAATCCCACAAGCAAAATTGCATTAATATTTAAGTTTATACTTAAAAAGAAGAAGAAATAGCTTCTTCTAGATTATTAATTGCTTAATATACGGAGTTTATATTTCCGATATTATCGAGAAATTATGTTTTTTAACAAGTTCACGAGGAATGCGGGATGTGAAGTATTTGCCTTATTGGGTAGAATCTGCTATAGGTTATTAACCTATCCTTAGTACTGAAATGGGTTCTTTACAAAAAAGAATTACATCTATTAAAGAATTTCAAAATTTCAATCAAATACTCTGAAATTTATGATATAAAAGGAGAAAAACCTTTGACTCTTTGATAACCCTTTTGATAATTAAAAAAAAAAAAAATTGGTTTATTAAGAAATGTTTCAATATTAAAAATTCTTTTAATTGATAGATAATTGCGCATGTAATTTCGGTAATGGTGTTTAAAGAAACACATCAAAAGAAGTCAACCCTTTTGGACTTTGGTAAGTGCAATTGTTGGACCATAAAAGGTTGTTTCCACATTTTCATGTTCTATAAACTAAAAGTCCAGATTTCTAGTTTCAAGAGCAAGGCCAGGAAAAGGCCCAGATATGACTTGGGCCTTGTTTTGAACCTCTGTATGAGCCCACCTCAAGTCCATACTATTTATACTATTAAATTCTTCTGAAAATAATATATTCCGCGAGAAGTAATTCGCATCTTCCATCTAATTAATTATGAGTAATGCTACAGTTACCAAAAAATAAATACCAAATTTATGTATCAAATGACGTGACGTAATCCTAACCATCGATTAATATTAATTCATAATTAATAAACGGTCATGATGACATCATGTCATTCGGTGTCCATTCTTCGATAACTCTATTATTTTCCAATTGATCATTATCCTTCACTGCTAAATATGCTTCTTCTATAATTTAAAAAATATCTTTAAACCTCATTTAATACTGAAGATAACCTTCTAAGCTTAATTAGGTTTTATTTTTCCCTAATTTCAAACTTAATTAGGTTTTTAATTTTACAACCCTTTTCCCCATTCTTAAACTTCATCAGGTTTGTCTGTTCACACACCTGTTCCCCAAATTCCTAATTTCAAATAAAACTTGCTTTTCTTTCCTCAAATTGAGATTCATTCCCTTGTACGATTACTTTTTCTATAGCTTTAGTATGATATTTTCATCAAACAAACAAATATTTGAAATAAAACAAAACGTTTCAAAGATTATATGAACATTTAGGGTTACGATTTATGTAAGATTAAAGGTTCAAAATTAAAAACAAAATATAAAATAGAGTAAAATGTATTTAAAATAAAATTATATCGTGTCGTGCCTTTGGAACCAATAAAATTAAAGGTTAAACAAAAATATTAATGGTAATTATATATATAACATTATCGAACCAATAAATAACATTACAAAGCTACATTCAAGCTTAGGTCCCGGGTAGAGCTGGCGGTAGGCCGTGTCGTGCCTAAAAATTTCAGGTCCGTCGTGCCATGGGCTATGTCGTGCCAAGGCTTGCAAAAATTCATGCTCTGTCGTGCCGTGCTAGCTCACCAAATTTAAAGGCCCATGGCTCGACCCGCTCTATATCGTGCCGCGAGCCGACCTGCATGTTTTGTAAAAATATCTAATATTTATAAACTATGGTAATTTTGATTTATTATTAATAATTATTATCAAAATATTTTATATGTACATTTTGTATTTATATTAATTAAAAAATTATATAATCACTATGAAACATAATAAAATAATAAATTATTGAAATATTAATTGTATGAGTTATAATTATAAATTATTATACTTATTCATTTTTATTAATTTCTAAATTCTTAAAATCTTCAAAGATACAAATATATCTTAGCTGTAAACATAGATTAGTATTCTATTTTTTGTAATTTTATTTTTATTTTTTTGTGACGTGCCGTGCCGATTCACGTGTCTTTTTTAAGGCTCACGACATGACTCGTATAATTATGGGTTGTGCCATGCCGTGCTTTTTTTTTTCTTTTGTACGGTGCCTTGTTGTGCCGTGCCGTGTCATGGGCCGGCATGGACCACCGTCGGCTCTAGTCCCAAGTTCCACAGTTTTTTAATTTTATATAGAAACTTATCAGTGTTGTCCTCATAAATTCACCTTTTTTGGGCTCCCTCTAGTTTCTGAACTTCTTTACCTCCCCCATAAATATAACTTATCCCTTCATTAACTAAAAAATACATTTTACCCCCCGGAACGTAACTGCCACATTAACATAACAAAGTTCCAAAACATATAGGTGCTCCCGTGACTGACTCTGCTAGGCAGAGTCCGCAGAGATGAAACCGAAGTTCCCGAGCTCACATCACATCAAGATTGACACATGTCATCCTATTATGCAACTGATTCCACGTGTCACTCCTACCTGTAACCACTCCAGGTCCCCCTGTTTTGCGGGCAAATTTCAAGTAGATATATATATATATATATAAGATAAACAGAAACAATTACCCAAGAATTTTTTTTGGTCTCCAATGTTAAATTGATTACATCTTAAGAGTCTTAGACATTATAAAGAGTGAAAAAGCTGAGCTAAAAGATGAATAAATTGATGGAAATAACTGAGTTTGGAAGAAGTTTATCGAATGACCATGCACCAGTGGTGTCCATATCTGTGTTCTTGGCCATTCTTTGTTTTTGTTTGATCGTTGGTCACTTGCTTGAAGAGAGCCGCTGGGTTAATGAGTCCATTACTGCCATCTTGATCGTAAATTTTTTAACTCTTAATCAACCCTTTGCATGGCTCGATATGTTTTTGTTTTTTTTATCTTGGATCGTTTGATATGGGGTATGGGATGTTATTAATTCAAAGATTTTTGGAGTTTTTGATTATTGCATAAATCTTCAATTGCTTTTTAGGCTCTAATTCTAATATATATAAATTCTCTGTTTCATCTGTTTCAGTGTTTGATATAGATGACTTGATGTGCTTATCCTACTCATAGCTTATTGCTCAATTGGGGGGTTCTAGACAAGAAAAATAACTTCACAAAGAACTTTAATATGTATAAACCGCTGGTTTAGAGGAAGATTCAATGTCAAAACAATTGTGATCGATAACAATTTGAAACATTAACTGCTTGCAAAGTGATTAGGTCTCTGGATTTTGTGCACTTCAATTTAGTTCTGGAGCTGCAAACTAGAGATGATGTTACTTGAGTTGGAGCTTTAAGAGGTGCAAAAGTGACAATTCACGTTAGATTAATGCAGCATTTATGGAGCTAATTTGGTATTGTTAATCTTGCTTGCCTTATGGATCGTCCCGCGAAACTAGATGATGTAAATTCTATGTGATTTTTTTTTTCTGGGCTAAGAATTTTACTGAAATGCTCTGTATTCATGTCTATGGAATATCGGTTAATCTTATTGGCGTTTTCTATTATTTTTTCTGATCAGGGATTGTTATCTGGGATAGTAATATTGTGTATAACCAAGTGGAAGAGTTCTCACATTTTACAATTCAGTGAAGAACTGTTCTTCATATATCTTCTTCCACCCATTATATTCAATGCTGGGTAAGGTCAGCTATAGATACATCATATTCTTGAATTGGCTTCAATGGTTTCAGAGATAATTTTCCCTATGCATGTATTGACTTCACTTATTCCAGGTTTCAGGTCAAGAAGAAGCAATTCTTTCACAACTTTCTAACCATCATGATGTTCGGTGTCATCGGTGTTTTTATTTCGTCATCCATCATAACTGCTGGTGATAATAGAAAATTTGAATCCATTTAGTACTTTCTCTATGCTGCTATGCGAAAAAAAATTATTTTAAATTCAAGCATGTTATTGTTTACCTAGGCAGTTGGTGGCTGTTTCCTACGTTAGGATTTGTTGGTCTGACAGTACGAGATTATCTCGGTGAGTTCTTTTTTCATTTTATATAAGTGAAATCAGAAATCGATATTCAATCCATTGATATTGCATCTAGTACTTTATGAAACTGCTGATTTTTGTTTCAGCTTTGGGGACAATTTTTTCGGCTACGGATACAGTCTGCACTCTGCAGGTTGGTTAAGTTTGCTATTATTTCTTCATTTACATGTTAAGTTCGTTAACTAATGTGAAGTATTTTACATTCTTGTAGGTTCTGCATCAAGATGAAACTCCTTTGGTTTACAGCCTTGTGTTTGGGGAAGGAGTTGTCAATGATGCAACATCAATTGTTCTCTTCAATGCAATTCAAAAAATTGACGTTGAAAATCTTGATGGCAAGGCAGCTCTTCGCATCATTGGAAGTTTCTTTTACCTATTCACAACAAGTACTACACTTGGAATTACTGTGAGTATGGGTAGTGAACTATACCGGCATGAAATGACTTTTAATTTATTACTTGATAGAATCAATCTGTTAGTTCATATGCAGTTTTTGATGTTTCAAATGAAAGAAATGTACTTCAAATCGTTTACATGTGTTGTCAGAGAGATCTAGTAATGTTCTGCATAAACATTAAAAAAGGCTCTTCAAAATTGAGAACTTCTGCCAATGATTTTGTTAGATAATTCTTGGGCATTTGTTAGACATTTTCTACTTGTTTATTCTTGACCTCTACAACATGACTTAGAACTAAAGGGCAGGCATTCAAGTTCTTTCACTGTGAGAGGGGCCTGGATGTTTGGTCATTTGTCTGGATTCCTTCTCTATATTAACTTCAGCTTCTTGTATTATTTTAGGCTGGCCTTTTGACAGCAGTTATACTTAAAACCTTATACTTCGGAAAGTAAGTTCTCTTCCCACCTATCCTCCTCTCAGAAAATGGTCTGTGAAAGTACTTCCTTATATAAATGTCGGAGTTTCAATGTTTCTATCTGAATTTTCAAAAGCTGATCCTTATCTGCTTACAGACATTCAAGCGTTCGTGAAGTCGCTTTAATGGTTTTAATGGCATATTTGTCTTACATATTGGCTGAGGTAATGTCTTGGGAATTCCTTTTCTTTAAGGTTTTGCCCAATTTAAATGAATGGAATATTCAGGATTGTTAATTGTCAAACTTAATGCTCAGTCAGAAACTTATTATTGCATTCTATCTTTGACTATGAACTGAAATTTCGATGTGTGTGCTCATACAATACATAAAAGTTAATGATTGCTTACTTCTAGCTTTATTGCAATTTCATTATGCAGCTGTTGGAGCTAAGCGGGATTCTCACTGTTTTCTTCTGTGGGATTTTTATGTCGCACTATGCATGGTATAATGTGACTGACAGTTCAAGAATTACAACCAGGCATGTATTTCAGGATTAGCATAACTTGAGTAACTTAGGTTGATTTTATATCTGACGACTTGACTTCTCGCTTCTCTTCTGCAGGCATATTTTTGAAATGATGTCATTTGTAGCAGAAACTTTCATATTTCTATATGTGGGAATGGATGCTCTTGACATCGAGAAATGGAAGATGAATAAGCTGGGGTACTAGTTTCATTATTTATGATTCTGTCCAATTTTCTTTTAGTAACTTATTCCTCAAAATTCAAGAGCAGTGGATCATCGAATATTCTTTTCGAGGGTGTTTTATCAAGAAACATGTCACTGGTACACCATCTGGGCTCCTGTCCATCCAGTTGATACACTTTTAGTTGAGCCTGCATATGGTTTGAAATCCCCATTTGTAAAATGAAAATTTTCAAACAGAAAGTGATTTTCCCATGAATGTCATGTAGTGTAGTTAATTTGGAAATAAGAACTGAGAGGTGAAGTCTATCTATAATTAGTTTCTAGTGACATACAAAGCAGACCACAAGTATGCTTGGGCAATGATAATATGTTTTCTATTGGCCAATTTCAGGCACTCTTCTCGCTGTTTGTATAGCTAGAATATTTGTCCTCTGGAATCTTCTATTATTATCAATATGTTATAACATTTTATTGGCTGCAGTTTTTGGACTTCTTTGGGCATCTATGGTTTCTTAGTCTTACTGATATTGCTTGGACGTGCGGCATTTGTGTTTCCACTCTCTGTGTTGTCCAATTATATGAATCAATGCAGGGCACCTTCGATTACATTCAAGCACCAGGTTAGGCAGTTTAACATTTTTTCCATTCTTTGTTAGTCACAGGCTTCTGAACTTGCTATTTATCTAGGTAGTTATCTGGTGGGCTGGCCTCATGAGGGGTGCAGTTTCTATTGCTTTGGCTTTTAAGCAGGTATTTTTCTTTTCTTCTAAAACTTGATCTGCGTTTCAAGATAGTTTACTGAAGTGATATTGCTAATTGGTTTATGACTAATAACGTGATTACCGGAAACACTTTGCTTTCTAGCTCAATTCTCTCTTTGCTTGTGAAGTTCACATACTCTGGTGTTACATGGGATCCGGCTTGTGCTACAATGATTACCAGCACCATAATTGTCGTCCTCTTCACTACACTGGTTTGTAAATTTAGCTTTTGTGAATTTTTTTTTTCTTTAACCATTTAGATAACATATTCGTAATACTGAAAACAACCAATGTAATTCCATTCAGGTGTAGAATTTAGAAGTTCTGTTGTCTTACGCGCTGCTTAAACAGCACAGCATATAATTGGCATTTTAATCTACATTCAAACAGCCTCTTAAGTAGGAGAGTATTTAATAATATCATCATTTTGATTACAGGTGTTCGGTTTTTTGACAAAGCCGCTTATACAACATCTGCTTCCTTGCCATGGAACTAACAACAATAGTAGTCGTGAACCGAAGTCCCCAAAAGAAGACATGATTTTGCCTTTGCTCTCCTTTGAGGAATCGACTACAACCAACCTTCTTCGGGCAAAAGATAGTTTGTCCATGCTTCTAGATCGTCCTGTATATACCATTCATTCCTACTGGAGACGATTTGATGATACCTACATGAGACCCATATTTGGGGGACCTCTCAGGGATCAGCCAGAATGTTAGGCAGGTAATCTTATGTCAACTTCAAGACAATGGCACAATATCCCTCATCTATCAATTTAAGTTAATTTTGAGATCAAGGTAGTTAACTTAAAGTGGCAAAAACTCTTAGATGGGGTTATATGGCATACAAGTAATGAAAGTGCCGTTTTGAGGCAGTAATCGATCCATCGTTAGGTGAATCGAATGAGCAAATTAAGTTTGAGACTAGTTCTGTAAATGCTTTCAAATTAGATCAGATGTCTTTTGAGGATACTTCAATGGAACAGACGACTAACTGAACATTACATGGTTCTTTATAATGCACATCTTATGAAACAGTAAAACAAGAATGCAGACTTTTTCATTGGTGATTGAATACAAAAGCTGGAATGACATAAAAATAAACAAATATGACTAGACAAATCTTGAAGAATCCTTGAATATGTTGATGTGAAGTTTATCAGCTGCCTCAATGCACTGCAACCAAGAAGAGAGAAAAAGTATTACAACTCTGATAAATTTCGATACGAAACTTTTAGAAAACAAACAAAAAAAGTCTACTTACCTATGCATTGAGGTGGTGTTTTAAGGCCACATTTCTTAGGCAAGGCCAAGGCATGCTTGGGGTTAATCCCAACGGCAGGAAGAACATTCTTGTAGCTACAAAGACAAGGCAAGTCAGCCTTGCTAACCACCTTACAACATTCCTTGCTTGGCCGTGGAGGTGAGTTGCCGGTGACTGCAGGCTTGCAAGGATCCAGCTGCTTTGTGTCAATGTTGCAAACGGGCACAGCCCTGGCTCCACCCACCAAAGCTATCACCAGGATTGCCACAACCCACTTTAGAAAAACTTGAGTCTTAGCCATTTTATTGCCCCACTATAAAAAAACTCCTTGTTTGGACCTCATTTTATAAGACAAGGTAGGGAGAGTTTAGAGTCAGAGTTTGTAGAATATTTAGGTGTGTCATGTGAAGAAACAGTCTGTGGTTGGTCACGGGAGGGTTGAAGAAATATAAAATAGATTGATGCTTTGATTATTATAATGTAGAATTATTAGTATGAATTGTTTTGATACATGGAAGAATAATCGTCCGGAGAAAGTTTGGAGTTCACAAGTGGCTGTAGCTGTACAAACTGATTAAAGATTTCACCAATCTTGGATTGTAGTTTAAAGAGTGTGACTGAAGCACGAATTGTAAAACAAATTGAAGCAGAAATCATGCAGAGAGATTAGCTGAAGCACGGGCCTATCTTTCAATTAAATACATGTGTTTTGAGTGAAAAATAGGTTTGGGTTGTTACACTTGATATCAAAATGGTAAAGAAAAAATCCCATATACTCCAAAATTCAGTAACATTTAATTTGAAATGTCACATAGGAAATATTACTAACAAAACTTAATGTTACAAGTTTATAATGCACATTAAAAGAGTAATTTATAGATTATCAAAACACTATTTCAATAAAAATATATTATCTATTTGATATTATTCAAAAAATAAAATAATTATCTAACATTAAAATCTATTCCTAATTTCCTATGACTCTATCTTAATTATAAAAAGAATAAATAAATAAACATTTTGTTGCGAATTTCGATTATTAAAGTTAGGGGTGATTCTGCAATAAAGAAGTAGTATATAAGTCTAAAAAATATTTAACTTTATCTCAGTAAACCCTTCTAAACGGCGGCCAGTGCAAAGCCTAATAAAACCCAACAATATTTATTCTAAAAAGGAGAACGACTTTTTCCCACCCAGGTTTGACGACCCATCGTTAAGATCCGTTAATGAAATCTGTTATTTGACAAGAATGAAATTATAAAAATATTATAATACCCTTATTATTTGAGTTTATAATTTTATAAAATTCGCTATAATTAAAAAATATTCTAAATCCTTTTTTTCTTTTAAAAACCCAATTCACTATCATCTTTATGCAAGAAGATTTCTCTCACCCACTGCCTAACCGACGCCACCACTCCCTCTTGTTTATGGCAAGCCAGCAGTAACGTCACCAATGGTGTCGTATTTGTTTTAGTGCCACTCCCTCTTGCCCAAAAAAATTTTCTTTGTCAAATCAAAGGGCCTCGGGTGGCAAGCTCACTCTCTCCTCCAACAAGCCCACCACAATTACTCACGACCCCAGCCGCCAGTGTTGGCAGCCTTGCTCTATAATTTATGTCACACAGCCAATGTCAAAAGGATTTATTTTTGTATTTATTTTCATGGATTTTATGGGTTTGATTTAGTATCTTCTTTTTCTTTTGTTTTGTTTATTATGAATTTATGTTCCTGGAGTCGAGGTGGAGGAATTTTTGATGGAATTAGAAGTGAATATTTCTGTAAACAAAATTCTGGGTTGTTTGGAAGATGTATGTGAACCAAATTTTGGTTTGAAAATTAGTGAAGGCAGAATCCTTTGCTCTTTTTCCTTCTCTGTTTCAATTCTCTCCCTCTACTTTATTTGATTGCTGTTGTGTGTAACTACTTGGTCGCCTGCGATTGCCCATCATTTACAGCCTTCCCACAGCCAACTCACCCGCCACCTATTAGGCGAAATTCCTCACGCAAATGAAATAATGTTTTTTTTATAGCAGTTATGTTAAGCAAAATCTGGATTGTATGGAAGGTTTATATGAAGTAATTTCTTGGTTGTATTGAAGAATTATGGAAAGCAAATTTGGTCTTACAGAATAATTATGTATAATCTTTTTATATGGAAGATTTCTTTATAGGGAAGAATCATGTAAAATTTTATTGCATGGAAGATTTAAGTTTAATTTTTTATTCATAATATTCATACGATATTAATTAATTTATTATATTTACAGATTTATTAATTAACAGAATATATATATTGTGCGAACTGACAAAAATACCCTTTTTACTGTTAAAATTAACGTCTGAATTTGACAATGGGTGAGAAAGTGTCGTTTTAAAACTTAGCGGGTGGGCAAATGTCGTTTCGCAAACCCCGGGTGGGAACATGTTGTTCTCCCATTCTAAAACCCTATAAAATCTCTGAGCCATCTTATTTACAGGGATTTCATCGACTTGAGAGCATCAAGGACTTCATCCTCGGACATTAAGGTAGTCCTTACTGAAAGCTGGGGATTCCTTCCCCCTCAAAGCCTAGATCTTCTTCACGTGCACATTTGAAAACTACCCCTTCTATTTAATTAGGCAAATTTGCTTCATTCTGACCTATCCGAAGAGTAAGAACAGATTCTAGAGCAAGTGACATCCCTCCTTCCACAACAAAGGGATATGCGAAATTGCTAGATTCTCGAAGACCGTAGTCAATAGCTTTGGATAAGGCGCAAACACTAGCATTCTATGCATAATTTCAGTTTCATCAAAACCCTAAAACCCTAAAATCAAAGATTTGCTTTTTCCTCCTCTATAATTTTTTTACATTTTTATTTATTTATTTTCGTTTATATCTGGTTTCTTTGAATGTAGAGGAATGATGAAAAGGCTTTTGTTCGGTGTGTTTTTTTTGTTTTAATTATTTATTTTTATATTTTGAACGAGTTCAATGTTTAAACCGGAGTAGCTTTGGTTATTTGATAGTTGTTTTTGATGCATTGTTTTACTACAGAAAGTTTTAGCTAGTTTGGTTTCAATGGGTAGCAAGAAAAGGAACTCCAATGCTGTAGAGGAAGCAGAGGGTACAGTAGATACAGTAGAAAATATAGAAAGTGATAATGATGTTGCAAGTCCTTTGAAAAAGAAAATAAAAAAGGGTATGAAAAAAGATGGAGATAGGGCAGTTGAGGATGCATCTATTAAACCCATGGAAAGAAAGAAGAAGAGAAAAGCAATGGACAAAGAGAGGCATCATGCTGCCATAGAAAATAAAGAGTCTCAGCCCAAACCAACAGATGTAGCGTTAAAAAGTGAAGGAACTATATCTGATATTCGATCTTAGTCCGCTCCGTTCTAAAAAAATCGGATATCTAAAAATTTGGATCAGATACGGATTCGTAATTTAAAAAAATCCAAATATTTAGATCGGATACCGGATCAAGGGCTTCGTTTGGTTCACAATTGGGTGTTTTTGTTACTAACAAAACTTAATGTTACAAGTTTATAATGCACATTAAAAGAGTAATTTATAGATGATCAAAACACTATTTCAATAAAAATATATTATCTATTTGATATTATTCAAAAAATAAAATAATTATCTAACATTAAAATCTATTACTAATTTCCTATGACTCTATCTTAATTATGAAAAGAATAAATAAATAAACATTTTGTTGCGAATTTCGATTATTAAAGTTAGGGGTGATTCTGCAATAAAGAAGTAGGATATAAGTCTAAAAAATATTTAACTTTATCTCAGTAAATTATCAAATTTAAGGGGTTTAAAAAAAGTTGAATAATATTGGGAGTAGTATTCCCAAAAATCAAAGTTTTTGGGTATTTTACTATTTAACTTTTTTGAGAATACTAAAAGTAGTATTCCCAATTGGCAACCAAACAGAGCCGAAGAGTCTTAGCCCAAACCAACAGATGTAGCGTTAAAAAGTGAAGGAACTCAGTCATCGATAGGACTTTGTAAAAAAAATCGGGTATCTGATATTCGATCTTAGTCCGCTCCGTTCCGAAAAAATCGGATATCTAAAAATTTAGATCGGATATGAATCGTAATTTAAAAAAAATCCAAATATTCAGATCGGATACCGGATCAAGATTTTAAAAAAATCAGATACCGTATCCGATTCAAATTTTACTAAACTACGTCGTTTTGAGTTTTAAAATAACCCTAACAGTCTAACACATTTAAGTCAACACTCTCACTCTGGCTCTCTCGTTCGAACACGCACAGCCTCTCCCTCCCTTAGACCAGGTCTCATCTCAGTCTCTCACTCTGTCTCTCTCGCTCAAACACGCACAGCCTCTCACTCTCTCAGACCAGATCTCATCTCAGTCTCTCACTCTGTCTCTCTCGCTCAACTCTCTGACTCTCTCGGTCTCTCTCGCTTGAACACGCACAGCGGCACAGACACAGACACACAGTCACTCAAAACTCTCTCAGACTCAGATCTCAGTCTCTCTCGCTCAACTCTCTCTCGCTCGAACACTCTCAGATCTCAGTCTCTCACGATTGAAGCCCCAAATCGATTGTTGTCACAGCCTAGTGCGACTGCCGCCACACCGTAATAGCCTGGTGCGATTCGTGGTGCTTTTCTTTATTATGTGGGTGATGGTTTGTTAATGGTCAATTTGATGGATGTTTTTGTTTTGATGTTGATTTGAGTTTGATGTTAATGGCACCGTAACATGGTGCCTTCTCTCTTTGTCCCGGTTACAAACCTTCTATTGTTCATTAGTATTTATTTGCGTTTCGAACCTATTACAAGGTGATGGAGGGGTGGGTTGATTCAAACTGTGCTGGTAGGGTTTGGTTTTATGTGTGTTTCCAAGGATTGTTGGTGGCTGGATTTGATTCAAACTTAGTGACTGGTTTGATTTTGTTTGTTTGATTTGTGTTTCTAACGGCTGCTGTGGTTAATTGGGTTTGATTGTGTAATCTGAACACAAGTTGTTAAACTAGTCATTTTTTTTTCCTTTGTGTTGAAATTGGTGTTGGTGGTGTTGAAATTATCAGTGTTCTTTCTGTTTTTTGTCGCACTCATTAGTATTGTCTTTAGCGGTAAAATAGCTTTGGTTATTTGATAGTTGTTTTTGATGCATTGTTTTACTGCAGAAAGTTTTAGCTAGTTTGGTTTCAATGGGTAGCAAGAAAAGGAACTCCATGCTGTAGAGGAAGCAGAGGGTACAGTAGATACAGTAGAAATATAGAAAGTGATAATGTTGTTGCAAGTCCTTTGAAAAAGAAAATAAAAAGGGTATGAAAAAAGATGGAGATAAGGCAGTTGAGGATGCATCTATTAAACCCATGGAAAGAAAGAAGAGAAAAGCAATGACAAAGACAGGCATCATGCTGCCATAGAAATAAAAGAGTCTCAGCCCAAACAACAGATGTAGCATAAAAAGTGAAGGAACTCGGTCATCGACTATGTTTTATCTAGGTGTATGCCTGAGTTCCATATTAGTGTTTTTAAGGACTTGGCATCAGCTGATGTTTCTCTGAGAAAAGCTGCGGCAGAACAACTCGTGACAGAGTTGGAGGGGTTCAGA